AGTAATGTTTATGGAAAGTCGAAGCCCGTCTCCAGTTACCTTTCTCGGGTATGGTGTCTAATGGGACGTTACATAGCCAGTTGTAAGAGGCAACTGCAGAGCGACTGCTGCCAGGTGCAGCGTCTATACCTGCCGATTTAAGAACAGTTCTTACCCAACCGTCAATTACCGCCCTGGAGACAGGCTTCGGCGTTTCCCGAGTCGTGATGAATAGTTGTTGAAGTGAGCATCTTCTTGATGTCGACAGTTCAATGACCTTTTTTACCTAGTAGACAGGGCAAATTGCTTGAACATCATGAGGGCTAAGTTTCCATCCCGATTGTTGGTGTTGTGCGGTGTCTGTTTTCGAACCAAATATTGGCCACAAAATAATGTTAGTATTATCCTCTTGTGTGTGACCTGGTGAAATGGATAACAATGTTAAATCATGAACTCTCCTTCCCGATGTAAATAATAATATTGTAGCACAACGTCGACACGCTTCGAAAAATGAAATATTAATCGGCACATTGTTTTGAAGCCATTGTACAACCTGTTGCGGGTCCCAAATGGGGACTTTCCTATTAATGGGGCGTGCTACTGAAACAGATTTTAACACTCGCCGCACAAATGTGCCTTGACTTACTTTTTTACTCAAATGCGGTTCGCAAATAGTGGAAACAACAGATTTATGTAATTGTATGGTTGATGAGGCAAGCTTTTCTGTAATATGGAGATCTGCGAGGAACTTGACGAGGTCTTTTGCTTGCGGTGTAATAATGGAAACTTCGTTTTTTAAACACCACTTTACCCATCGATTCCAGGCCGGTTTATATGACAGTAGTAGTAGACAAAGTAGATTTCCGCCACCCGTTCATCAATACGGCCTTCTCTGCTGGGGTCCAATTTTTCAGTAAGGTGTCCCAGCTCCAATCAGCCAAGCTTTCAATATCAAATCGGTTACCTTGGGGAGCGGTAGGTTGGTAGTTACGTCTATAGAGTTCTCTGTAGGTCGTGTATTAGAACTGGCCTGCTGGGGGCTCTGTTCTGTAGATCTGGTCTCCAAAACGACTTTATACAGTGGGTTGACTTTATCCAGACTTTATCCACTACTACAATATACTGGCCTCTGCAACTGTTCAGGTGAGTCAAAACCCGAGGCATGAGTGATGGCGGAGGAAACACCCAAGCTAGTTAGTACTCCCATCGCCTGCTGAAGGCATTGTGGAATAGAGCGGCCTCGTCCCACGGGTCTAGGGACGCGTAATGGGGAACTACTTGGGCTCGCGCTGATGCGAAGAGATCCACCTGAGGTATACCGAATTTTTGAAATATTTTGTCTGTCGCTTCTGGTAGGAGATGCCACTCTGGTATCGATTTGCCTCGAGACAGTCGATCGGCCACACAGTTGAAACGTCCTGGTAGATGTTGATGAGTAACTACAATCTGTAAGTCTTGAATTAGTTGACATACCTCGCGGGTTTGACTCATTAATTTTGATGACTTCGTGCCCCCTTCGTTCCTTAAGTACGCGAGAGCCGTTACATTGTCTGACTGAATCAGCAAACTGGCCCCGCGTAAGCCCTCTGTATTTGATTCTATCGCTCTCTTGAGCGCTACTAGGTCCTTGAGGTTGCTGTGACAAGTTTGTTGGTAAGGTTCCCACGTCCCGGCAAGGCACGTGTCGTTTAGTAGGGCTCCCCAACCGTAATTGGAAGCATCGGTTACTAGGTAGTGAGTAATCTGTGGTAAATGAATCATAGAAAAATCGCTTACCGCACACCGCCACCACTGTAGATCCAACAGGACGTCTTTCGGCAACATGTATTGCTGCCTTGGATGCTTTCCCTTGCGTAGCGTGCGAAGGTGACGTTGAAAGTGGCGGCAATGTAATCGACCCTGTGGCACTACGTAATTGGCAAAATTTAATCGCCCCAGAACGGACCTCGCTTCGCTGAGAGAGCAAGTCTTCTTCAAAAGAAGTCGCTGAAACTCCTTTTGTAGTTTTACTATCTTCTTGGGAGGAAGATATTTTTCGTTTAAAGAAGTTTGCCGCTGAAGCAAACATCGATCTTGATTGACGATCAGAACATCGTCGAGATAAACTACAATACGTACACCCGCCTCTCGCAGTCTCTGCGCCACAAAGTTTGTTAACATTGCAAAACACCTCGGGGCACATGCTATACCGAATGGAAGGTAGGTCATTTGGTAAAGTACATGTCTGAATATTAATCTTAGCAAACGTCGGTGAGGTGGCGTGACGTTTACGTGAAAATACGCTTGTGACATATCAACTTTCGTCATCCAGTCTCTCGGTTGCAGAAAATTTGGAATCTCGAAGTGATAAGGTACAATTTCTTTATTGTTATATAATTGTTTAGATATTTCAAATTGAAAATCGGTCGGAAGGAAAGGTCTGCTTTTTGAATTAAAAACATCGGTGACACAGAACTGGGACTAACTTCCGCTAGTTCTAAGACTTTTAAATCTAACATTGCCCGAATTTCTGCAGCCATTTGGGGAGAGTCTGGTGTTTGGTAAGTATCCAAATCTGGTATCAATAGAGGGGGCTTTCTTATAAATGGTATTCGAAGATTGGAAATCATTTTCAATATAACTGGAGGAGCTCTTAGAACCACCCACCTGTGATAAAAGTGTTGTAGGCGCCCGCTTCGAAGCGATGTGAGTCAATCATAGCGGCGTCTCTTGGAATCGATGTGACGACACTCGTGAGACCTTCTAGGCTCGTGCTTTCGTTTTCCACGAGACGCCGCCTACCCCCTAGGCTTTGAACTCCCTGAAGGCTCTGTGTTGGGTGTACGAAAAGGTTGTATGAATTGGTTTTTCAAAGGGAATTGGATCTGACCTTTAGATGTAGACGAAAAAGACATTTTTTTTTCCGGTTGTGGTTTAGCAAGCACTTTCGCTGGACCACCATCTCTGTCAAGCAATTTAGAAAATTGTTCTGGTTCAAAAAAATTCAGAAGATGGGGGTATCTTTTTGAATTTTTCTACCGTATAATTATTTTGAACGGACTTCAATAATTCATTTCTTCGATTATTTATTATTGACGCCCTTTTCCCACAAATAATCTGCATGATGTCGTTGGAAATTTTATTGTATGTTTTATCTTCGTTAAATAATTCCTTAACTTTGCTAGAAAATTCATCGTAATTAATTACCTGAAGTTCTCGTACCCATGAAAGTAAGGAAGTAACATTCTGTTGTAAAATATTTCTTTGTAATAATACAGCGTTAGACAATGCAGATAACGTACGTTCACAAGAGAGCAGAAATTTGTTTTTATCGAAAGGTTTCAGATCATCATTGGATTCCAATTCAACAAAACCCGGTTTAGATAAATAAGTCCTTTGAGTTTCAATGAAATTTATGTTGAGCCAATCAGGGGACCCAAAAAGCTGTAAAGAATTAATTAACTCAAATCGTTCACGGTCAGTTTTGCCTATACCAGTGTCCTTCAGTGTAGTTTGTAGAGATTGGAAGGAAAAATCGTCATCATTTCCTTCAACTGGTGTACAAGATTGTGGCACAGTGGCTAATTGAGGTGCAGTGTCGGGTACTTGCGAGGTACTAGGCTCGGAAACCACACGTGTCTGTTGTTCCGACACCCCCACATTTTGCACATTTTGTTGCATAAAATTGTTCATAAAAACCGTTAGGTCTCTAACCTGTTTGCATAACTGACCAAAAACCGAAATATCCGAATGTAATACTCACTGTGGCGCTAGTTAGCGCGATCTACAGAGCTGTCGTAACTTGGAGATCTCGATCTGGAGTACGAGCGAGATCGAGATTTGTGCCTTCGTCTTTGTTGGTCTCTGCCTCGTCGTCGTCGTCGGCACTCGCCAGTGCCGCCTGTTGTATCGGAATCCATATCGGTACGCAATCCGACAGGATTTCCCCATAATTGTGTATTCGCAACGAAATTCAACAACGCAATGAGGAAAACCGCGTGTCGAGTTTGAACAACGGCCACCGCACCCCCACACTGGTGGAGGGGTGAGCAGCGTGGTGGTAAGGATCCAACGACCAATCGGAGGGCAGAAGAAGGAGAAATTCAGTGTTGCCAGTCGTCAAATCGTGTTTTGTACCAAAAATTCAGCAATAGCTCTCTCATCAAACCCGGACAAGGCGAGGAATGCGCAATTATACCAAGGTCTCTAATGTGATTCACTTTTTTAATGGACTTGTCTTTTAGTTTGTATTCGTAATCGATAATATGAGTTTTGCGCGTGTATGTAATTATGTTACATTTATTAATATTAAGAAATAGTTGGTTGGACTCGCAATACGTATGTAGAGATTTCAAGTCTTCTTGCAATTGATTGCAATCATTAGATAATTTAATCACTTCAAAAAACTTTGAATCGTCAGCATAAAAAAGAAGTTCACTATTTTTGAGGCAATTACTAATATCGTTGACATAGAAAAGAAAAAGAAAAGAGCAATGGTGCGATATGAGAACCCTGAGGTACACCTGAAAGTACCAGTAAAAACCGTGAGCAGTATCCCTTTACGTAGACAGCTTGACTCCTGTTTGTGATATAGGATTTGATCCATTTTAGAAGGTTGCCGTGCACACCGGCTCTTGTTAGCTTTTCGATAAGTAAATCATGATTTATTTTATCAAAAGCCCTGCAGAAGTCAGTGTTTGTGTACACTCTACTACTACTACTCATCTACCTGTGAATTATCATTGAGAGCGTGTGATAGGTGCTACACAAAAGTAGCCATATTTGTGTCAACGTTACGTTTTTTAAAGAATCCGTGCTGTTGTTCAGAGATGTAGTTTCGGTAAACGAAGGACATCTGAGAAGTCACTATTTTTTCTAAGATCTTTCCCAAAACACAGTTTTGAGATAAACGTATATTCTGTAATCTGGTCTCGCATAATGTTTTTTGGTATAGGGGTAATAAGTGATCTTTTTAAACAGCATGAAATATGCATAAATATGAAATATATGATATATGAAATATGCAATAGAGGCTCGAAAAATTACAAGAATGGGCAACGCGAGTACTTTTGCGCAAATAGATATAAAAATAAGGTGAATTTCATCAGAACCCGCACCTTTACGAGTATAACATTTTTGAGCTCTTTAAAGACCAAATCGTATTTAATATTTATCGAATTCATTTGTACGGTTGATTCAAAACTGTTTAAGGGCCAGTCTTTTAGTTCTTTGTCACGAGGAGATAACAAAGACGGAATTGAAATGATTATTGAAAGCTTCACAAACACTACTACTAGTTTACAACTACTACTAGGTCTGTCTCACCATTTATAGGCGTAGAACTCAGCGGTGGACTCTCAGGTGCAGTAGTGTCAACCTCTTCGACGTTTTTGACAGTAGATTCCTTGGGCGTGTCGCTGGAAGCCGGCGGCTCTGGCTCACGGACCGGCGTACTAGGTGGCGTGAGGAGTGTAGCTTGCACCTGTCGCAGCATGATATTTTCTGGTCACTTTCTTTACGATACCTTACGGTAATAAGCCATAACAATTGTTTTATTAGTTTATATGGCTCATTATTCAAAATGATTGAATTACTTAAAAAAATATATATGTATATAAAATCTGTGCGAGCAAAAACTTTTTCAATGTTATGTAAAAAGTCGTTCTTCCACTAACTTGGTGAAAACGCACTGAGCTCTCAGACCGTATTGAACGTGGTTAGGTATCCATAACATTGAAATGATATTTAGATTTTTTTTAAACTATATAACTTCAATAGTAAATGTAAAGTTTAGGGTGTTCTATTACTAAATTATCATTTATTGTTATTAGCTATTACAAAAAATTTATGGTACTCCATTGAACTACCAACAAATTGAAGTCGGGTTAGCGTTAAAAGTGTCCGAACCTAATAGGGTGTTAAAATCGCACACAGACCGTCAATCGCGCGTCAGTCTTCGTTTGTTCGATTGACCAGCGCGCTGGTCGATCATGCAGTACTATATATTAAAAACTTGTAAAAATTACTCCAGTAAAGTGAAAAAACGGGATTTTATATCATATTTTAACTAAACAAATATATTGTGTTATCAATGATCATAGCTATCATTTAAGTGTTATTTTGTACAGTTGTATAGTATTTTTTTATATTTAAATTATAGATAGTAGATATAAATTACAAAAGCAATTAAAAACATCAAATTGCTATCCTTTTACTACACATTGCATGCCCAAAAGGCGGAAAGAGACACAATACGTCAATTTCAAGAAGATTATACATACTTCTTGGTCAATTTCAATTCTTGGAACCACAAGCGATAGAAACATTTCAAAAGAAGTACAGCGTCGCTTTGATTTTAATCTTATTTTAAAATGATTTTTTAAACGTTAGCAATAACTAACAAAATATTGTTGTAATAGTTTTACTTGGGATTATCTATCAGAAGTCCGAAAATACCTTTGCCCGAAATAACGTTTGCTCGAATTTTCGTAATCCGTGATGGATTTTTTAAGGAATATTACAAAACAAACCTACGCTAAGTTATTTTTTTATTTTTAATAAGTATCCAAAATTATCTGAGAGCATAACGGTATTATTATAAATTGGTCTTTGCACGCAAAATTAAGCAGTACTGCAATGACGTTACAATTTAAATTAAATGTTTTAGTTTATTATATTTCGTTATATGTCACTACGTTCATATAGGTTAACTTCGAAATTTTTTGTCGTGGTTTTTATATTAGACCCGACGTCCATTTGTTGGTGGGTCAATGTGGTACTCTCATGTAGTCTGTGTAAAAACAGCTGCACTTACTAGTCGCGTGCTTCCAATGATAACTTCTTTATCAGAGTCAGCGCCGTTTGTGGAGCCAGCCATGCCGTTGCTCTGACTCTCCGATGAATCAGTCTTGCCCACACAGAACAATGATTGCTGCAAGTGCAATTTCCCAAAGATAAAAATTAAAAAACGGTTTTACGCTATGGTCTATCATTATCTAAACCGAACCTGTCATGTTTTAAGGCCAAAAAGTTACAATTATTTTTCAGTTTCATAGATAAATTCCAACGCTTTATTTTTTTACGGTCAAATTTAAATTTATATCTTTAGAAGGAATTATTAATATTATTGGATTGAACCTATACGCGTATTATATATATTTGTTTTTTCAAACAAAGCCACGGTTTGAGCCCTCTTTCTTTGCCGGGCTCAGGGTCAGGGCTGAGTGGTAAGCGATACGACTGTCATAACAGTTGTAGTACCACCAAGGGCTTTAAATCGCAGCGATCTGAGGCACACTGCTACTGCGCCCGTCCCATGTGCCTGTAATTTCGCCAGCACCCCCCGGAACGCAGTAATGCTTGGCAGCAGAAATAGGTAAAGGGGACTACTGCCCTGGACGAGCTCTTTCAGGAGTTACACTGCTACTAAATTGTAAGAGCATCAACTAGTTATATCTAATATTAATTTGATGACTTTACCATCTCATAAAAAAATAGTTTCATTTCCATTGTGTAACTCGATATTAACATTGTTGTTCGAATACCAGATGTAAGATGTCTTCCCATGACAACCGAATTGATACAAAATATGTACGTACAGAAAACCGCTTAGTTTCAGTTTCGCCTGACATGCGTTCTTCGTACTCCCTGTAATCTTCTTGCACAGCACCCGGTACAGACGCGACGCATAGAATGTGCTTGTCGCTTACCGGGAACGACTCTATTACTTCCGCTGGGTTGTTCGCGTCGATTATCTGCAAAATTGATTGTTAGCCTTTGTAGCTTCCCAACGAATATGGATAAAGATTAGTCAATGAAATATGGATACTAAACCTGATACTCTATAAACACTATGAAATATGACATCTAAGACGTCGGTTTTTACCGCACCACACACCACATGAGGCCATGAGGCCACTCGACAAAGTTTTTTTTACAAAGAACCAACAAAATCTTTAATTGAATCAAACAATCAAATTTTATAAACAATTTTAGGAACTTTTATTGCTGCTGCTTAACAATGAAAGATGCTTGTTACAATTTGTTGGTTGTAACAAATTATTTAAAGAAATTAGTACCATGACAACTCCTTTGGTCTGTGTACTGGAGCATATCCAGACGAGGGAGGAGAGGTTTTTCTCGGAACGCTCGACACTGTGCGTGGAGTGCAACTGTCGGTTGATCTGCTCCACCTCCGGAGAGTGTACCGATTGCGCCTTGCTCATTTCATATGCTGCAAACAGGTTTGTGCTTTTTGTCACAAAATGTTAAAATGTTTTGTAGATTATTCAAACTAGTACCAATTTCGCCCAATACTGACGTTTCTAAGATTTTTCTTTAGTTGCAGTCACTAATCGTCTTTTTGAAATTCATCATTAGAAATATGACCCAATCGGTACGAAATAAACCTATATTGCGCAGGATAAACACTTTTAAATGTCGACAAGTTGTTTTTGTACCTTGAATTTTCAGGGTACAAATACTTGTTCCTTGTCGCTTGTCACTTGAATTTTCGTGTGAAATATAAAAAATTTCGAAATGATGTAAGTAATTATTAGAAATCTTTCCAAACAGCGGCGGAAATATAGTAGCAAAATGATACATCGCCAGGGGCGTCCAGTCTGTGGGAACCCCAACCCGCGCGTAGGTAATACAAATTCTTAAAGATACAACTAGTCTTTACAATGAAACGTCAATTCTTTGTAAGTGTGTTGTTAAGCTAGCCGCTTATATACTACGAGCCCTGTACTCCACCTATGGTCGGGTCGAGCTCGGCCTGCGACGCGTGGTCGGTTTCAGTTTACGGGGTGTGTTCATGCTCTTCGGTGGCACAGCAGTTAGTACTATGGGCGCTTGATGAGGAGGTCGATTCCCGATTTATGCCAATTTAAGAAACGAACATTTCTAAGTTGGTTTTGGTCTGAGTATTCTGGGTTATCGTTGATTTGGTATTCATAGTACCTACATAGCACAGAAAATTCGGCAGTAGTTTGGCGTTTTTTCGCCCTAAATACTTCTCTTTGGCATAGCTTTCAAGAAAATGAAATCTAACATAGAGACGGTTGAGATACAACAACGCTATAATAGGTATCTCATTTCCACTACATCGGGAAGCATGCTTTACATTTTTACAATTGTGAGATCTTGTACTCGTAATCTATTACGTCTCCGTATATTATCTCCATTTGATGGCGTGGGGACGCTTCGGGCTTCGCCCTCCGCGGACCTCGGCCTCCGGCCTCGGTACTTATGGCTTTATTTTAAAGAAATTGAAATAGCTTTTTAATGGTGGCCATATTTAAAAATTGCAAAAATATATTTTTACCACTAATTATTGTCAAACAATCTTAGAAATATTTTCGTGCCAATTTTCAGTCCGAGCAAAGCAAGTTTTTTCAATAGCCATTTACATAAAAAATTTCGGCTATATCGAAAAACGGCAGAAACAACATTTTTACCCCAAATTGTGATTGAAGCCATGCCATTTTCAGTCGAATTAGAAGAAATTTTTATCTACCGCCAAAAAAGTTTGTATGGCAGCCATATTCAAACATGGCGATAAAGAAATTTTGACCGCTAATTATTATTAAAGACTTATAGAGACCCCGACATGTTCACTTTCAATCGAATTAGAGCAAATTTTTATCTGGCGTTAAAAAACTTTGTATGGCAGCCATATTGAAAAAAGGCGAAAAATAAATTTCGACCGCAAATTATTGTCAAACACCTATACAGATCCCCACATATCGAATTACAGTTGAATTAGCGCCAATTTTTATTAGTCGTTGAATGGCGGCCATATTAAAAAATGGCGTAAAACCATTTTTGATCACAAATTATTATCAAGCACTCCTGGATAACCCACACATTTTTTTTCTCCCGCCAACGAACGCTTCTAAGGCGGCCATATTTGAAAATGGCGAAAAAACAATTTTGACCACAAATTATTATTCAGCACTTCTAGAGGCCTCCGCATGCCAATTTTCAGTCGAATCAGAGCAAGTCCGTTTCGGCAGCCAATTTTGACGAAAAAAACGCTCATATGACAGCCATATTAAAACATGGCGAATAGAAAATTTTGACCCCAAATTATGGTTAAGGATTCCTAAAGACCATATCAATACCATACCATACATAGCATACCACAGCATACCAATTTTCAGACGGATCGAAGCAAGTTTTTCTTCGCCCGCCATTCTGAATTCGCCATCTTGTTTTTTTTACCCAGGCAGTTGAACACTTTTATTTATTAACCTCTATGACATTCCTTCGAGCACCTCCTACCTATCTCTAATAGTTTCCGTGATAGGAGACTTTGAAATTTGTATGGCGGCCATCTTATTTATTTGAATTTCGAACATTTTTTACTACCGGCGGAAATTTACCAGGGTGTACCTCATAAAAGTGCACAAATATTCCCTCCATATATTATAGTTTTTGCAGGCCGTTGATCACTCTTTCATATTTTCCACATTTAAGTCTTCTCATATTTGATTCTTTGCTTTGGAATCTATCCGCGTACAACGGTATAAATATCTTTTTTTCCACCATATTGGGAAGTATGCGTTCTATTTCTATCAGTCAACTTGTAGCTTTATATTCTTTATATATATAAAATCATATTTGTTAAACACACTCACCCAAGCAAAGAGTATTTTCAGCCTTGTCATCATCCTTGGCGTAGAAGACGCTCTCGCCAATCATACAGCCTCCGTCAGGCGTGCGACCCCCATTCAGATTCACCCCCGCCGCACACAATAGGGTCATACGAGGTTCGCTTTCTGCTATGGGTCTGTGGATTTAAAAATGGCTTTTATTACCAGATAAAAACAAAATAAATTATAAAATGTGTTATTCCTTTTTGTTTATTGGATACTTTTGACGGTTCTCGATATCCTAGTGCAGTTAAAACTTAATCATTCTGAATGTCAAGACATATTTGGTAAATATGACCAGCAATTTTTTTAATTCTGGCTGTTCCCAAATAGTGTGCGATGTCGCAGTAAATATAACTCTTTCTATATTACTAAACAATACGTGAAATACGTAAGCATAAATTTTAGATTAAGAAATATGACTATACCTCCTGTGGCTCACCGTTCGTTCCCTATTGGAGACAAGGTATCAATTTGCTCTCACCTGCAGAATACAGGAACGGGTACAGGGACTCCACCCGAAGAGAGCGAGGTACTGGGTCCCTTCTGACCTTGCTGACTTTTGCCAGGAAGGCTCCAGCCATAAGCCTGCGTGCGACCATCCTCTTTGCGGACGTGTGCTCTCACCTATTATACAATTTGTATTTGAATGTTAGCAAATGTTTTACAAAATTATTGTCTACTTATACTGAACTATAATATGATTATATTCTTTAAGAAAAGTAAGTAGTACCTATTAAACATTAAAAGAAGCCGCAAGTTTTCTAACCTGAACTATTTTAATATGCAATCCAGAAGAACTAAAATAATTTATTTCCACATTTAACCATTTTTGAAATGTTACAGGACAAAAACAAGCAGGTCACTCACCTGATAAAAAGCTTTGCTGAAGATACAAAACTTGCCAATAGAAAATATACAAAAGCAACCCACAAATTATAACTAATTTTAAGATTTGTGATGAATTGGACGTTTCTGTTTTTTAGTTAATCCATGTATTTACATGTCGTACTGTTTAATAAAAACTTATAAAAATTACATATAAATTACAAAAGTAATAATCAAATAGCTAACTGTCCTTATCCTGTACATTGTGTACGCAAAAGACAGAAAGAGGTCAATTATAATATATATTAAATATAATAATAGCGTCAATTTCAATTGTTCGAACCACAAGCGGTTGTAATATTTAGAACAAAGAAACTAAACTGGCTTTGATGTTAATTTTATTTTTTTTAATTACTTTTTATTAAATGTTGGTACTAACTAAAAAATATTGTTGTACTCGTTTTAGAGTTTGAGGTTAGGTAACCCCAAACTCTAAAACGATAGTGAAACGATATTTATAGGTTATTAGAAGTCCCAAAATACGTTTGCCCGTAATAAGAATTTTCGTAAACACAAATATATTTCTCTCAATATTTTTTTTGTGATACTGGTAAGCAATCAAAATTCCCTGAAAGCATAACGGTTTTGTTTTAAATTGGTTTTCGAGATTATGAAAATTTGAGTTTACGTTTAGTTGGAACCTAAAAATTCAAAACATCGATACATTTCGTACAGCACGTCATAACTAACAAACAGAGAGACAGTTATTTTTACATTTATAATATTTGTATGTATATATCTGCATAACTGTTTATTATTTCTTTAAGTAAACTTGTATAAAATTCAACAATATTATGTATAAATTAATGAATGTTGACAGTAACGGCTACTCCATTACTCTTGTGTTCAAGTAGTTTTCACTAGAAGCTAAATTGGTGCATTTTGTTAAGTTTCCAATAGAAGCTGAATATGGTGAATTTTTGGGCCCTTAAATTATTTCAAGCAAAATTAGGCAGTACTGCAATGACGTCATAATTGAAATCAAATGTTTTACTTTGTTTATATTTCTTTACATGTCACCACGTTTAATATTGGTTAACTTCGGCAATTTTGTTCCTGGTTTTTGTATTAGAGCCGACGTCCATTTGTTGATAGGTCAATGTGTATGTTGAACACAATACAGTGTCAGTGTAATGTAATACATGTACGGAATTGATTTTTACAAAAAACAAATAGCAAAAACGAACCATAGTTTATTTACATTTTTATAAGCCAGTGACAAAATACGAAAATGAAAGCATTTTTTTCAATATTAATTCGATTAAAGTAAGATTACTTATTATACATATAACGAATATGACCCAATTGCAATAGATAATTTCACGACTCACGTCTTATGAATTTTATTTTTTTGTTAATTGCAAATGCTGAAAAAACGACCATTGATAAAAAAAAACTATTTAATTTTATCTTATTAATAACATCAGCTTAAATATTTATGGCTAATAACTAACATTGTGGACAACATCTGAAATAAATAATGATTAACTATATAAAAGGTAAGTACGCCTACAACAAATCTAATATCACCAGAATCACTTCACAAATAAAAAATCACTTCAACTTGAGAAATAATTGTTCAGAGGTGGTTCCTCATTTTTTAACTGAAAAGAAAAAAAGGAGAAGGAATTAGGTTTAAGGACAGGAGTTGCAGAAAGCTCGATATTATTTATTTAAGTAGTAACATTAATAATTATAATTGACGCCAATAATTTATTTTTTATTTTTTTAACTTCCACTCTGAACACAAAATAATCAATGAAATAATAATAAGAGCCATTAAAAATTACTAAGGACTTGGGGTCATCTTGATTGCATTATATTACATTCATAGAATCTGGTACACACACATACGAGTGTAATAGGAGCACCACTGCGGTCCGGTGGGTCCTATTGTCTTTTCTTTCTCTAAAGATATTTTAAAAATAATATACATTCCAGATACAAATTCCAGTCATTCACATGTTTGGTCCTAAAATTATACCAGGATTACGTCTACATTAAAACTAAATATCACGACTAGGGCTACATAGATTTATAATCTTCGTGACAATTTGCTGTGTAAAGAAAAATCTCAAATTAATAAGGTGATTTTGGATTTCTCTGATTATAGTTTGTTATTTAGAGATTTATTACAACAATATACATGATGTTCAATTCACATTTATTAGTCGTGAAACAAAAGTCAGTCAAATATTTTTAAATAGCGAACCAACATTATGCTTTGCTAGAGAAATGTCACTAGTAATTTAATAAACCGCGCCCCCTATCGTTGTCGTTGCAATGTTTGCGTGCAGTATGTAAGTATTGTATGCATTCGCACCCAGGGGTAAAGCGTTGCCGAGATAGCAAATTTTTTTCAGAATGCGTAATGCGCTCTGGCTTCTTCTGGCTTTACAATCGATAAAAACGATGTTAAAATGTTCGTGTGTAAATCAGAAAATCGAAAGTTTCTACATTATATATAGGTATTGTAAACAATGAAAGTTACTATAGTCCATTTTAATAGGGATGATTCCGGTGACGTTTGAAATTACTATAGTCCATTTCAATAGGGATGATCCCGGTGACGTTTGAAATTTGAAGTTTCTAGAGATGTAGTGATGTAAAATCGCATGAAAAAAAAATCGATTTAAATATCTTATCGAGATAATTTGTAAAGAAGAGGGAATCGATTTACAGAAAATAATTTAAGAACAACTAATTAACAACGTAATGACGTAAATATCTATGAATAAATATTTCGTTTTACACATTAAGCAATTAGGGTAATTTATGTTGTGTCTATCCCTAAAAACTACACAACCAAACAAAAAGTGAACAATAGAGCATAAAATCAACAGCACCGAAACGGAATTTAAACAATTACTCCAAAAAGATCACGCAAAGCTAAAAACAAAATAAAACCCGTTAACAACGTATGTAAATGCCTCGTATTAACGCGAGTTATACAAAAGCCGGTTCGATTTATCGATTCTATGGTATAAATCTCTATGGATAGATAATCCGTTTTACGCATCAAGCAGTCATAATTTATTTTTATATTTATTGTTTAATTTTCTGTCTACATGATATACCACAATTTTTACTTAAAATTACATGTACAACAAATATTGTTTGATTTTGGTACATTATAACAAATTTCCTATTTATTTTTGTATCCTGGTTGACAAATTATTTATAAATCGTATGCGTGTAACGTAAAAATTAGAAGTGTCACAGAACTCATCCCTATTGAAATTGACTTTTTACAAATGACAATCAGATTTTTGGTTTCTTTTACATTTTGTAAACTATAAGTAATAATTCAACTATAAACAATTGACGCGTCTAAATTTAATGTGAGCCACGTAAAGCATATACCAATATTATATACGAATCGTAGTATCGAAGTGTACCTTCGTATGTTATTGAACGAAGGGGAAATCCGGTTGAGAGCCCAAACCATCAAAATTTTTTAAACTCTTTCAAAGTTAACGTCTCAACATTACATTTTGACTAATTCACTCGTTTGCCTGATGGTGTAGTAAATGGGATACCCACCTGTCGAAACTGTTCACTGCGTTCCTGTCGCCGGTGATGGTGGTCGGACAACTGCGTTTCGAGGAAGTCCGCCTGTGTACGCGAATGCCGCATAGTCGGCTGTGGCGCCGCCACTGCGCGCAGATGCGGCGTCGACAACGGCCGCTGCGGTCGGTCCCCTGTGCTGTAAACAATACGGAATATTTTGTAACCTTTCCTCAAGCGTAGTTAAGCATATAAATGAGTACAATCACCTAATACAAGTGTACTAAAAATGTATTTAATTACGCAAAATTTTCACGTTGCCCGCTAATAAACATCATCAAACCATTTACACGTCGCACTACCGGGCATGGGTCTCCTCTCAGGCGAGGGTTTAGGCCACATTCCGCCACGCTGCTGTCGCAATACGGGTTGGGGATTTCACGTTTTCGAGGGATTAATAAACATAAGAAATCAAGAGCAATATACTTGTTTTCGGAAACCAGATAAATTTCAACACATTAAACATGTTAAAGGAAGTCAAAATCATCTTCAGACAATTCTATAGCAGCAGCGATAAAAAATTCAAAATACTAAAGACGCGCGTTCGAGTCAAAAAAGGTCGTAAATTCGCATTATCCAGTTAAGCTTTATATACACTGCATACACATTTCATAACTGAAAAAAGACAGAGCGCATTGGGAGTGCATTTGACCGTAAGTGAAAATAAACTCTAGCGAGTCTTCACGGTAAGATATTCGATACGATATACGATACGATATTACTATAAATCGTAAAATCAAGTGATAATGAATACTGTACATCTAATCTATTAAGCCCGAAAAGACTTATTAAAGGCAAATCAATACATTAGGAAGCATCGAAATGGGAGCTTAGGCTTACGAGGTTTATTTTAAAATCCAAGGGTATTTACTCATCTAATGATATAATATTTCAAATTCGATACACAACATTACAATAATATTAAAATAATAAGTCTAATACTACAAACATAAATAATTTCTCTTATGTCCACAGAAAATTCTGTGCGAATTGCATTTTCATTACGCGTTTCAACTATACCATATTTTTTCCAAGACGAAGTAAAAGGAAGTTTGCCACTTTTTGTAAACTTTTAACTAGTCATAATATTGTGGTTATTAGCATTGATGCAAACATGTGGTTATTGTTCACAGGTTTATCGATAGATTTTGAAAGATGATAGAATTTTGCAGAAACGCATTCATAGTGAATGTTATCATGTTCTAATGATTAATCATGTATTCTTCCTTCTTCTAGTTTTAACGAATCAGCTCATTAGTACCGAACTCAATTCGTCAAGTACAGAGGCTCTTATTATTATAAGATAACGTCTATTTACATTGTACGTTTTATGAATGTTAATTTATATTTAAATTAAACAAGTTCGGCCAATTATTGCATAAATATAACCAATAAATAGTTCGTCGAAGTCAATACATCACTCCGCCGTCGTTATCTGCCTGCCTCTAAAGCTGGCAAGCCGTTTGTGCATTGCACTATTATTTCACGCCTTATTGCAAAATAAAACAGCATATATACACAAATAATAATTAGCAAATTGCATTGCATAGCAAGTGGAAATTGCACTGACTTCACACATACTGAATAAATGAATAAAAATTATTTCAGTATTCAAGTTTCGCATCCCTTTAGACTTCTTGGTAACGATTCAATTCGTCTGGCAAATGTACAAATATAAATAGAGTAAAAGTATGCTGGGGATATTTTTAATTTACTATTACATTAGGGGTATAATTCTACACACCAATAAAAACAAATGAGCCGCGTAAACATGACATACATTTTCCACCAGATGATTTATTATAGGACATTTTTACTACACTCGCGAGCAACCAAATCGACTCAAGCGCTACCTCTACATTCAAACATTGTTCTATATAAAAGTATACAACATTTCAATAAAAATAACATGACATTTGAAAGCTTGAAACCTAAGCTTTAAAAAAACATCAATATCAATAAATAAAACAAGTACCAACATGTTCATTTGCGCAATTAGGGAGAATGGGACTAATTACTACCTACGCTACCTGCTAGTTGCGCTACCCTCTACCCCTATAAAAACCCCCGTGACCCTTGAATCCTTATCAGTCGCTTATCAACAGTTGACCGATACACATTTCCGCAACCTGCATTCATTGTTTTCAAGAAACCATGGATACAACACCTCAAGAAGCCGCTCAAGTTGTTGCCTTATTGCAACAAGGACTCAGTCAGCGAGTAGTGGCTTCCCAGCTTCACTTGAATCAATCTGCTGTATCCCGAGTATACCGACGGTATCAAGAGACCGGAGCATTCTCTCGGAGACCAACAACAAGCCGCCACCGTTGTACTTCTGAAGGAGACGACCGTTTCATTGTCTCAACCACCCTGCGAAATCGGCACTTTACGGGTGTCGACGTGCAGGGCGAGCTGAGACGTGTTCGAGGCGTAGCTGTCAGTGAGTGGACAGTAAGAAGACGTCTGTAGGAAGCCAATCTGTCTCCAAAAAGGCCTGCAACAGGCCCCAAATTGACTGCAGGCCACCGGCAAGCTCGGCTACAGTTTGCTCGAGAGCATCTTAACTGGAGCTTTGGGCAATGGCGGTCGGTCCTATTCACTGACGAGTGCAGGATGTGTCTGCATGGCAGTGACAGGAGAGGCCGGGTCTACAGGCGTCCGGGAGAGCGATTTGCCCAATGCTGTTTCGCAGAAACCGTTGCCTATGGTGGCGGTTCTTGCATGATGTGGGCTGGTATCTCGTTGGAGGGTAAAACCGAGCTCGTTTTCGTGCCTGGAGGAGGCCGAGGAGCGGGACTGGGAGCTGATGGGTACATCACAAATATTCTCCTGGAACATGTTGTGCCCTACGCAGGATTTGTTTGCGAAGACTTCATCCTAATGCACGACAATGCTCGATGCCACACAGCGCGCGTTACTCAGGAGTTCCTTCAAGAAGTCGATTTGCGCACAATGGACTGGCCTGCGCTAAGTCCAGACCTAAATCCCATCGAGTATTTATGGGCCGAGCTCAAACGAAGGGTACGAGCAAGAAATCCAGCTCCTTCGAGCCTGGAAGAACTGAAGGCAGCTTTATTAGAGGAGTGGGAAGGTATTCCTCAAGAAAACGTCAAAAAACTAATAAGATCGATGAAGAATCGATTACGTGCTGTAATTAGGGCTAGGGGAGGCAATACCAAACATTGAATTAATAAATTTTATACTTCTTAAGAAAAAAACGTGTTTTATTTGTGTCAAACTCCTTTACCCAAAATCCCATTTTTCTCCCATTTAAGTTCAGACACCGGTAATAAAAAAAAGTATACATGGATATTAATAATGACGACATTTCCTAAAAGCTGAAGTTTCAAGCTTTCAAATGGCATATTATTTTTATTGAAATGTTGTATACTTTTATATAGAACAATGTTTGAATGTAGAGGTAGCGCTTGAGTCGATTTGGTTGCTCGCGAGTGTAGAAATTTTATTATGTAATATGTAACTCAAATATCAGTCATGTATTCTCATTATCGAATGTTGGGGATATTACCAATTTCGTAATTTCGTTACTTATAATCGTAGTAATCATTAATATTACATTTTAATTGACGGAATTCATTCAATTGCAATCGCTAAGATACTTACGTAAAAGAAAGGCCTATACAAATACAAAGTAGAAAGCTTTTTAGTAACAATTTTTATGGAATTTTGAAGCAAATAAGAAACGAGTTACAAGAATGCAACAACACCAGACAATTTAATTCATTCGCTATAGCATTTTTACAGCGAGATGTGTAATATTGTTGGTTTATATAATATATTATGGACAGTAGACATATGATATGATATTTAGAATACAGATAATTTAAATAAACCAATGTCTTCTTCTATAAAATATGTGCTCAAAATTGTATATACTGTTTCCATTAAAATATAAAACAATTATCAATCTTGTAGGCAGCGCATAGCAAATACTTATTTAGAAATATCGCATTGCATGACGTTAATAATACTTACTATGTATTTCGCAATAAAGCGAATCATAATTGCAGTATTAAAGCTTTTAATGCACCTTCGTATAAGGCCCATATATAAGGTACAATTATCAGAAGATAAGTCCAAAGAAAGGCCACACTGTAAAGTGTTAAATATTGCTATATACTTTACCTAAAGAGATTACTAAAAAACTTCCATATGCTTTGTTTGTTCTTCTTATCCATGGTGGAATCGACCCGACTCGCGCGCACCATCTCGGTCCAGCGCACAGCGTCTTGCAGCTCCATGAATCGCTCCTAAAATTTCATAATATTTTATTATTAAGTAGTTGAAATCACTCACAATAATGCAATTACGTGCCTGACAATCTCTAAAATCTGTATGATGTGTGCAATGTTTTAAATTTAAATTAAAAACATGTGATAAAACGACTGTATGATACTACGTAATAACTACTCAATATTGCTACCCACTTAAGTTCGCTTCCAAATTAGCGTCAATCTGATCAACCTTTGGATTTACGTCGGACTGCAATATTTCCTACCATTATCTAAACCATACCTTGTATTGGTTACGCTCCATAAGCACGCGGGCCATCTCGACGCGCGTGAACCGCCTTCGCTGCGCCATCGGCACGTCTGCTTCGTCCTCATTCTCACCACCGCCGACATTATTCGCCATAGTCTCCTATAAAGCGCAGTCATCATTATTAATCGACTTATACAAGTAAAGATGCCTTAGGAAGTTTTTTCTGTAGCTGAATGTACGTCAAATACAAATTCTTAAAATGCACGTAACGCCAAAGCAATTATAAGTTACCATTGCCCGAGGAATACTCCAGCCTATTAGAGACCATAAATTAATTCGAAATTTCAAAAATCGTTATCAAAACGTATATTTCATAAGTACGCAAAATACACTTCCCATCCATTGACCTGTAGTTCAAAGTTGCCAACGTGAAAATAGAAAGACGCTATTGCCGCCATATTTTGCATTATGGCACGGCGGTTATGATTGACACGATGATCACAGTAAAGGTACAATCTAAAGTACACAAGGTACTGCAGCTTCCCATTTGATAAACTTAACATTACACTCTATTTCATGTATCCACAATTAATGAGAAAAAGCCATCTCATTTCTTTGTTTAATGCCGGAAACCAATCGGCACTTATCATGCAAAAAATTGAGGAACATGTTTATTTTATATGTTACGAGTTTTATACCTTGAGATGACGCAGTTCCTCCTCGAGTTGGGTAACTCTCTCCCGCAATTTCTCCCTAGCGGCGCTAAGATTGGACACCTCTTCACGGAGAATCTCTTGCTCTCCGGTCAATTCATCTACTTTCACTATCAGATCATCCTTGACCACGTTCAAAGCGTTCCTGATGATAAGAAATTAGTTAATCAAACTGATAATTGAACGTGCTTCATAATGTATTTGTTCAGAAAAAGAATTGCAGAACTTTATTCTATATCAATTACTTCATCAAAAGTTCTGTTGATATCTTTAGGATAAACTAAATTCATTTTTATTCCAATGTAGGGACGAAGTTATTAGTGAGCAGTAACCAATACTTACTTCGTAGCTAACAACTCGTTATTTTCTAAGATAAGATTCTCAACTTCTTTCCCCATGCCTATAACAAAGGACACATATAAATGGGACTCTTATGTGGTTTCGGGATATAATAAATAACAATAAAAAATAGCCGCTTAGTGGCTACTTTCAAACCATTTTAATCATTTCCATATATCAAGCTATTTTTTATAACGTGTTCTGCTAGTCATTTCTTTTGTATTTTTTTATAATCTACCCTAGTTAATAAAACTTAATTTCGTTTTTTTAAGCCACACAGAAATATACAAAAGCTAGTTGGTTATAACTGCTTACTTTGTTTGTTTCAAATGATGTAAACAGTAAAGTAATACTAAAAAGCGGATTCAAAACATCGCCTTCGCCATTTAGTCTTAAAACTTGTTAACATTAATAATAATTGTCATGCTTTATATAACGCAGCTCAATAATATACGGACAATCCTACAATCGCATCGATCACGAATGTTTTCTAACTATAAATATAGTATTAGTAATGACAGATTTCTATTTATTATACATTGCTATGGGCGGCAACATACATAAGCGTTAAAGCAATTGCTAGCAGCATTAGATTTAAGGAAAAAATGTACATAGTCTGTTGCTTGGTTTCGTTCAAAATAAGGTAAAGTCCACCTGTGTGAAATACTCATAATAAACAAAACAGATCATTGTCAAAATATTTTTAATCAAATAAAAAAGACTACTTACCGAAATAGTTATCGTTAACTGCAACGCGTAGATGCAACATTTGTTAGATCGCATGAAAACAAAACATTGCAATTAAATTTCAAGGATTATGTTAGTCCACAGACAGTACATGCGAACATAGTAATAAAAATCCGAATAGAACATCTGCACCAAGCTTAGAAGGAAAAAGAGAAATAGCGATATAAATTTAATACTAGTTTTAATAAAATATTCACAATTTTGTTTATTCTTTCAAAAAACTTACATTCATCATAAAAAATCACCGATGAGTCATCATGACTTTCCCCACGATATAAAGAAACGCAATCACTAGTTGTTGATTTTAATAAATGACATACACACAAGTATGTTATTCAATGGGAAAAGACATTCAATAATACAATCAATTCAATTCATTCAGTTCGTCTAGACCCCAGATTATAATATAATAACTAGGTAAAAATGATTAATTAACAAGACAAGCTTCATGCCATATTAGAACACAAAAGTGCAATAAATCGTAATTTACCTGACGACGCATATTCGCCCGGATGCACCCAGCTTCCTGTAATTAAAACCTTCATTATTAAACTACATTTTAACCGGTCACCAAGTCAGTATTCCAAGATGCTTCAATGTAGGTGACAAAGACAGAAAACGGCGATTAATATGTATAATAGAACATAATATTTAATATATATATATATTCAAAATTGTTGTATTTCAAAGAACGTGAAAATAAAATTGTGTGAGTTTTTTTAAGTCTCATATAGACTTGGTAATCTTTTATTGCTAGCACGTTGTTTCCAAATACAGGGAAAAATAGATTATAAACAAGAATAGTATACTATAAAAAGTATACTTGCCTGTAATATCGGCCCCTTCATCGCCTTCTACCATACTGGCGTCGGTGTCGTGGAAGGACAGCTCCTGATATAGCGTGTTTCCGGAACGCTTTTCGCTCTTAGTCTGCGACTTGCCGGAGTTAAGCGGTGCCACCGGAGATGTAGCCTGGACCATATCAAACAACGATATATATACATAAAAATACACTTTCTCGCGGATATTTATAAATAAATTAAAGCAGTCTATTAAACAATTTTCCTGTGTTGAGAAGAAATTTTTTTTATGAACCTGGTGGGAGCGAAACGCCTGTTTATAACAGTTGCAATGCCACTCAGAGCTTTAAAATACAAAGACCGGGGGGGCATTTATATTACAAAATTGAAGACTACGTGTTAGATAAAGATGTATGGAAAGACGACATGGCTCCAGAATCCACACAAATTTGATTCAAAGTGTACTCCATAGCATTTAAGTTTATTTGAAAAGAGCAATCCCTAGAGTTTCTTGCTCGTTCTTCTCAGGGAGTTTAGCGTAGTGAACGAGCAGTAGCTTAAATGTGACGTTTTCAAGTGTAAATTTATTTTACCTATGGAATAAACTTAGACTATGGAAACTAAAGGACATGTTACGTTGACATACATATATAAATCAGACGTTATATGTATATGATGCATTTCGACGTCGAAAACATAAACATATTATTGTCTTTGTTTAACTATTACGTGCCGTCTTAAGCCAAAAGAGATAGCATTACATTGGTCTGTGTCAAACACGGGAATCGAAAATTCGTAACGTCATTTTAAATGCCAACCGTGGCCATTTCAAGTACATGAGGTACATGATACCGTTGTCAAAGGGAAGTACATCAAATGTCAAAACAAATGTTTTTCCAAATGTATTATTGAATTATTCACATGTATTATAATTAAATTGGACAAAAATATTGACAGTGAGAATAATTAGGTATTAATAAAAATGCGACGCTGCAGCATTAAAGGATGCGGCTTTAGAAAAACTGCAAATCAATCGAATGTTACATTGCACAGGCATGTGTTATTTTTTTTGTCTATAAATCACACAATAGCCCGAATATTTTATGTAATTAGACTTATTTAAGTAGTTTATTTATAAATCTTGCCAAATTTTGCTTTTGTTACTTTAGATTGCCTGTTTGTTTGTATATTTTGATGATTGTTGTTAACGATTATTTTGAGATAGTGTTGATCTTGTAAGCATACATATTATCGATATTCTGTTATTAAAACAATTCACTATGAGGTTTTTATTGTTTTATTATTATTATTTCAAGTTTTCCTACAAATGAAAAAAGGAAGAAAGAATGGTTGGAAATCATAGGACTGCCGAATATAAACGTTGGATCAAAGACCATCTTCATTTGTTCGCTTCATTTTGAAGAGTCAAATTTTAACAGAACTTTAAATGTAACTAGATTACATGACAATGCTATTCCATCATTAGGTTTATTGGTAAATAATTTTATGTTCAATTTAGATTAAACAAGACTCATTTACTAGCTATTCTCAGTTCCTGAAAACAAAATTATCCACTCGTTTCTGATTTTTCCCAATGACAACTCTAACTATTAAAAATGACTATTTTTTTAAAGCCTGCAATACAATGACAACATACCAACGTATAGACAGCCTATTTGCCTTGCCTTGCCTTGTTCGGTGTCACTCGCCTAGCTGACCGAGTGAAGGCGAGCGCCAACGTGTATAGAGTTCATTCGGATTATCACAAACCATAGGCGCTCGACCAATAGCGTTCACACGTTAGTCCGTCCGCATATGAAATGCATACTGGTTTTATAACTCTATTCAAAAAAAAATCAAAACAAAGAAGTATATATTATATATCAACAAAATGTCATGTTGTTCTGTTTCTGGAATAATCAGCATCCACCACGTTCGTTTTTGTCATTTCTTTTTTGCAACTTTATTGCGGGGATTTTATCGTGGGGAAAAGCTAGTACATAATAATTGTTGATTTCCGATAATTGATTTTTACAACTACTTCCATTATTTCTGTGTTAAAATTGCTTGATAGATTCATTTGCTTAAGAAATCCCGGGAATTAACGGGAATACTAGAATCCGCAGAAACCTGAATAGACTTGTACTTGACGGTTAGTTAAAAGACGTTATGTAAATATGTACTAAAATGTAGGTTAAAGGCGTACCTCTTAAAGTAATTTTTATATTTTATTTAGTAAGTACAATTAATACTACGTAATGTTAAATACAAGTAAAGTAGGTATAATTAAGCAAGAATGCGCATGTCGCCAACAAACTGCACAGCAGTTTGGTGACTTTTACTAAATAAGTTACCAGTTGTAATGTTGAAAATAAATTTTTATTTGAAGTTTAAAAATGTGTGTTGACATTTATAATAATATACCACTCGAGATCAAATTATCAGACTTGTGTTTGTTTAGGCATACTTTGGTTACAGTAAACTAAAGAAACAAAAATTCAAGCCATACATTTGCATGTCGATAATGACTTATCGATAGATTATGGTACAACACTAAAGAAATCCGCCATTTGTAACTTTCAAATTTTGGTAATATGCACGTTGATTCTGTACTTAGGGCAGCTCCTTTCTTTTATTTTTTTCCATCCTCTAAGGGAATAAATAATCTTTGACTTTGACTTTGGCACTGACACGACGCCCGTCACTTTGCGACGTATGTTGACATATGTACCTGGAATTTCACCAGCATCCCTACTCTTTAAAACTGGAATGCAGTAATGCTCACATTACTGCTTGGCGGCAGAAATAAGTAAGATGGCAGTACGTCTCTGGACGAACTTTTTGACATGGAGCTCTACTGCTACTAGTATTCGGTAACTATACACTATTCGAATTATTCGGTCTATTTTTTGCTATTACTATAATTTTTTTTCAATACTGAATACCTAAAAACAGGAGAAGAAATAAGAAAAAACCTAAGGAAAAAACCCAGTAAATTATCATGTAAATTTTATGAACGGAGAGGCTGCTTCTGCGTACTTGGATGACAAAAATCCGTAGTAGTAACCCGTTTAGCTCATGGAGGTAGTCTCGATCTCTGATGTTTCAAATAAAAAAAAAATATTGTAAATGTTATTTACAAAGAGCAACCCCTAGAGTTTCTTGCTCATTCTTCTCAGGGGAATCTGCCTTACGAATGAGCGGTAGAGATTAACCATTGTGACGATTTCAAGTGTAATAATGCTTACCTTTTTTTATTTATTTTGAATTTGAATTTGAATTTTGCTGTGCGGTGGACCCTTTGCCTACTCAAATAAACAGGAAAATTTTCAAAAAAGAAAAAATTACAACATCATGTACTTTGATGTAGCTATAATTTCGTTCTGATAGAGGTACTACATTTTTAATAAAAAATGTACATAGGTACTAATTGATACTAAATTTGTCAGGATTCGTTTAGATATACCCGCCATTCTGACTCTCACAAATAAATACTCCACGGCCACACCACAGACTTTGAAAGTTTAGGATATTAAATAAACCAACGGTTTAACAAGAGAAATAAATATATCAATGGGAAGTAGAGTAATGATACTTATTTTGAAATATATCTACACATACTTAAAATTAACAATCGCCAGGTAGACTCGCTGCAGAGCATACTCCCCAGCCGGACCGCAAGCTACATCTAATAACTTCTAAACTAATGTCATTATTATGATCACACTTGCTATTGTGAAAAGTAAGCTTTTAGATATTTTTTTTTGGGAATATTGCTTTCTTGAACTTGTGGCGCGACGGTAGAGTACCGCTTTGCGGACGGACCACCCAAATGGTTAAATATTTCGTAATATATCGAGGTACATACTATTTCAATTATTCATTATTTGTTCCTCGGAAAAATTAAGGAATGCATAATGCATCTCTGTTTCTCTGCATGAAAGGAGGAGGTTCTCAATTCGAATGTATGCTTTTTTTTGTGTGTACATTACGCGATAAGTATGTGAATCGATTTTGATGATCCTTTTTTTCTTGGAAAGAGGGTTAGGTCAGAGAGAGTAACTCAGAAGTGGTTCCATTTCAATTTGAAAAAATATTCCACCTCTAAATGTGGAAAAATAGGGGATGAATGACTTTTGAGGTCGGTTATTTTAGTACTCTGTAGTGCTTTATATTGTTTATTTATAGAAAATTATGAATCATAACTGAAGTTAATTTGGTATATTTTGTGTCAATTTTCGTACGTACTTTAATCAGGCCGAATAATTTGGCCAAATATTCGTCTATTCTGGCCTATATACTATTCGTTGCAACACTAGTAGTTAGCCATTAAGCTGCTTTTGTGAGTAAGGAATAAACATTATTATTGTTATTAATAATATACAGAGTGGAAATTTAGATAAGTCTGCAAAGCCAACTATCTTAATCGTTATAGCTACAAGAAAATTATCTCAGAAGACTGTTATAAACAGTCAATTTAACATGTATTTCAATTGACATTACAGAGTTTGAAAAAAAAGGCAAAATTTACAAAACTATTAACTATTAACTTATTTCATGACCTTCAATCATGTTTAAAAAAGTGCTTTTTACCTCGCTGACTATACCAGTTTCAAAATTTGTGAATGCTACCATAGTCGAAAAACCTTCAAAATTATTCTTATATGACTGTTTTCCTATAACAGTTAAAGCCTTGCTGAACCACACCAAATTTCCGACCCGTAAAGCGGTACATGGATATATTATGTGTCTTATTATTTTTTTTTTTTCCTATAAGACGGCCATTAATAGGCTTGTGTCAGTTTTTAAGAATAATTTAAATATTATGGCGATCATCGCCAGTGTCGCGGTATGGATGCAAAAAAGATAAGGAATAAAAAAAATAAAAAAAAAAGATTTGACAGCCATTGGACTTTGCAATTAACATTCTAACTTTTTATTGAAATCAAGCCTTATTATTATTTCCTTTATGGCGGCCACTAGATAAATAAAACGATAATTTTGACACAAACCAATTCGAATATTGAACAAAAATGACAGCCATATGTCATTGTGTCACCATGAAAATAAATGTGTTTTAAAAGCATTTATTTAAGAATAATCAATCTCATAAAGTTGAAGTTGAGAATAAAATGAAATGTTACCTTCATAGTTGCATTTTGCTGGTAATTTTCATTTTGTTAATAGTAATGCGCAAACAAGTTGTAAGCTTAAAGTGCTACCAGTGCTCTACGCTCAAGCATGCCGGATGTTTTTCGTACGCTCTGAATAAGGAATATCTTAAAGATTGTCCGAATACCAGTAGAGGAAGTAAATTGAAGCCAATATGCCGAGCAATATCTCAAATGCAGTATTTCACACCAGATCAAGACTTGGTAGTGCTGCGGGAGTGCGCGTATATGTACAAGGAGCCACTCAAGTGCGAGAAGTCCAAATTTAGCATGATTCACGCCTCGGAGTCATGCGAATGTGATCAAGAGGGCTGCAACTCAGCTTTCAGACATCCAATGAGTTGGAAGCTGCCGTTATTACTGACCGTGTGTGTTTTGGTGATCAAGTAGTCATTAGTCGTGTAAATGATACATTGAGCATACTACAATGTTACAACGACCCTTTCGTCTACCTCAGTGTTCGCGATTGTACAATTATGTGAAGGTGTAATTAGTTGCTAGTGTTAATTTGTTTTCGATTCAATGTAAATATATATCTATGTGTTTGCTTCAATGTAAATATATACCTATGTTGATTAATTAATTAAATTACTTTAACTAACCAAAGTTTGTGTGGGCAAGAAATGAAATTCAAAGAATGATTAAATACGAATAAGTATGCGAGTCAAAACCTCCACTTTATTGTCATTATATAAATACATGGTCATTGATTGTGATTGAGGAACTACATACCAATATAATAATATAAAACAAAACTTATTTTTTGCGTCATACAAATATTTGTTGAGATGTGGGGATATACTACAAACTGTCTTCTCACCCGTAGGTTTATTAGAGCGTGCATTTTTGAGTGGAAGCTCTTAATAAGACTTGTAAATACCAAATAAATAGAGCTATTAAAGTTTACAAGAAGAAAACTCAAATGTATGAGTGTCACATATAATATTGAACAAAAGTACATCAGTTGAGAGATTTCAACATTAAAGATTTTCAAAAAAAAGTACTTCTTTTCAGTAGCCCGGAACTCTATGCTCGACAAGGTTGACACCTTTCTCTACTTGCAGTCAATGCTTTACCTTACCAAAGTTTTACCTTTAAAAAGTCGATCTTCTGATCAGTATTGTTACATGTAACCAGGTTCGAATCTACGATATGTATTACTGGGTCCTTTAATTTCATTCCTCACGTACACATACAACAGGCAACTCCCGAGACTGAGAGGTAGTAATAAATGTCTATTTATTAACGTATATTTATTATTCCTCACCTGACTTTGTTGCGTAATAGGGTCTGTCTGGTGAGCACGCTCGACCGTTCTTACTGCAGCGAGCTCGGAGCCAATAGGCGGCGAAGGCGGTGACGACGACAAACTCACGGGGCTACCTGGCATACTCTCGCTCTGCTCTACTACGTGCACAGAACTTTCCAGAGAAGCGAACCCGAACGATATCGGACCTGCATAAATAAAAAAAACATTTGTGCAGTAGTTCTTCCTCTTTATGGAAAAATTAATTAAAAATTAATTTGAACGAACAATGACGAGTGCAAATTGGTGTCCTAATCTGCTCTCGTCATTGTTAGTTCAAATTAAGGCTGAAAAGGAAATATTTAATTGTGACTAATCAGTAACTGATATACAAATGGAACAAAATGTAATTTTTACTTCAATTTCACACAGAGTCCCTAAATTGTCGAGTTTTAAAAGTTTTCAATCAATGCAGTTGGATTGGAGCAAGTTTTTGTACATTGTCTCAATCCGACAGATTTCCTTCCGACATTTTTCTACCATAATCGAAGAATTAAGTAGTGTCCGACAAATAAATCAAATTTAACAAATTCCATCAGACTACATTTATTATAAGTAATGTGGTGTGGAATTTTTGACCACATATGACCTTTTGACCGTCTTGATGACAAAACATCAGTTTAAACCATTAAACAGTAACTTAAACAGAACATCTTAATCAATCCCACTTAAAGGTTATAAATCCCTAAATTATAATAATAATAACGCACACACTCAACCCCGCACTAGGGAAACCCTGTGTCGCGGGTGCCATGGACACATACATAGACAACCACAAATTACACTAAAACTCATGAGAAATAAATATAGGCCATACAAATATTTCTCCCGGCCCAGGAATCGAACCTGGGACTTCTGCGTGGCAGTCCGGCAAGGTAACCGTTCGGCTACGGAGGCAGTTGAATTATCCTCTATCAAGGCTACATGAATTGCTTTTACTCAAAACTTGTTCCGTTGATCCAGGCAGCGTAACCTCAATGAGTTGTTGACTGTTAAGCTATTCAATTCGTAGCATAAAGTACCCTAACTACATTTTGCATAAGGCTGTAAATAAACATCAAGGCTATCTGCTATATCGGTCGACCATGCGTATTGAATCCCGCTATCGTCACACACGCAACGTGTTGACGTCGCATATTTTAACGTTGCATCTCGTCTTGTCGCTGAAGTACCGAGGCCTTAACATGTTTACATAACATGGATACCATCTTTTCTGTTCAATGTACACAACATTTTTATTGTATGACTATTGTGTAAATAGTATTATTGCAATATAGCAAATTTCTCCAACAGCGCGGTTAAGTATTACTGGCGATGTACTAGCAGCGCCGTAGCCACGCCATTTAATCGCTAATTTGAATGAGCTCTAAAAGTGCTAGAAACAGTTTACGAAACTTGAGGTCAAATTTCAAGTTGAAGAAACAACGAATCAGGGTATTGCACTTACCGCTGGATCTTCCGACAGGGTTGAGCCCTAATCGTCCTCGAACCTCGCTACGATCGCTTGCGGTGCTCATCAACAACTTCGTACGCTCCATATAGTCCATGTGAGTCTTGAAAAGCTCCGTATAGCGATCGTGGAGTTTCGCATATTCCTAAACATATTTTATTTCATCAACTTTATACATTACCTACTTAAAGTAGAAATTTTAATTTAATGTAAATTACGTAGGAAGGCAAGGAAGTTGTAGAAACAACTTTATACATGCCTTCCTAATTAATAATAAAAATATTAATATGAAACCGTAGACTAATATGGATTTCACGGTAGCATACAGTCGATGAGTAAATTTCTACAGTTACAGATACTGAATAATCTGCGTCGGTCTTTATCGAAATTGCTTCCACACGAAATGTAAAGGATGTATAAAAATCTAATAATGTTAATGACTTCTTAGGGTTTCTAGTCAAATTAATTTCTGTATAAAATGTCAGTTCCGGTAAACGCAGGTTAATACGAAAATGATTTGATAAATAAGATTAACATTTTTATCCATCTATTCAAATACATATTTGTACATTTTCAAAAATCAATAGATTAACTGACAAGGATTAGCCAGTAACCATAACATAATGCCTCATTTATAAAAACTCTGTTCAGAATATTATTCAGAATATATTGTTCAAAATATTTTTTTTCACAGCAGTCTGTAAAATTAAGTGTTAAACAAGAAAAAAAATAAGTCCACGAGTGTTCAATATAACATTACAACATGCTCGATATAACATTACAAACCTTCTTTAATTCATTTTCCCGCTCCTCCAGCCTGCTAGCGTGGTCAAGTGAGTTCTTGTGTTTTAGTTCTAACATCCTGACAATGCTGTCCAAAGCTTCCAGGCGACCAGTCAGGTCTTTCCGCTCGCCCTCGTAATGATCTTCTGCTTCCAAAAGCTAAAGAAAAATTTTTAATTACTTTTTACTACAAACGGGTTTTAAGAAATATAACGGCCACAATACATGAGTTGCAAACTGTCATAATTCAATGATATTTTAAGTTTTTGTTCTGATCCTCCTCATTTATTAAGCATGTAACCTGGACCAGGACCAGGCATAAATAGAGAAAATTACTAAGTTTAAACATGAAATTAAGTTCCTAAGCAAATTGACAAGACAATGACAGAAAGTTGCTCCATGAATAAGACCCATGACCATGCTGAGACCTATGCATATTGCAATAATTGTTTGTTTCTAAAATTAAATTTGCAGCGACAAATAAGATGTAGAGACTAATTATTGAACTTTTCCACTTATTGAACTAAGGCAATGAGGTCATTAATTAAAAAAAAATATGATAATTAACACATTATTTATATGATGTTCTAAAAATTACCATAACTACTTGTGACAGAAAATTTTAATTGTAAATTTTAGTACTGAGTTACATTTATATCCTTACATACATATCCTTATTATTTAATTACTTTGAGATCACATAATGCAAATGGCCTAATACACCAATAACAAATTATATTTTAGTGCATCTCTAGCATAAAAGAACGGATAGAACATTAATATTCATAAATTACACAATAAGTTGTGCAACAAGTAAATATACTTTTACTCTCTTCATATTTTTAGTAGTATAATATTAACCTACATAACGTTGAATTAATTATCTTATATCAGTGGTTTTATTAATTGAAATTAAATTTACATATATACATGTGTGTATATATATATATAATCTTTTAGTCACTCCATTACCATTGAGGAGTAGGCAAATATGGATTGTCACTTGATAGGATACTTAGCTTGCTTATTCAATTCATATCTGTTCTTTAATACACTTTCGTTTATGCCAGGTATTAACAAGTTCAGCTCCACATGTATGCCCCATGTTTTTGTCCCTGGCCAGTGTGTACCAAGCTTATGCAAGCTTGCAAAATTTCAAACATTTGTATGAGCACTTGAAAGCCCTGGCCCTCACAAATCCTTCAGTGTTTTTGGGATATAAATATCTGTGATAGTTTTGAAATTATGGCTCAATAAAGAAAAAAATTAATAAAAATATTGTTTCATTTGCCTTTTTTTAAATATTTATTTTATTTTTTATTTTTTATTAAATTATTTTATTAAATTAATTAATTAATTTATTAAATTAGATCAAATTTAGTACAATAAACTTAACTTAAATAAATTATTATTTAGTTTACTCATTCATTATTTAGTTCTTATATTTATTATATTTCAGCTATATGTATGAAAAAAGCTCCCAGGCCAGGGTATTGTACCTGATACAAATGATAAAAAATTAATAATGGGGCACAGGGGGATGGGGGGGAGGTCAGTAATATTAATTTCACATACTAAATTAGTACCAATGGGAACTATATAAGTAAAAAAAAGTGATTCCCATGATTATTGCCTCAGAGGCCCTTGGCGCAGAACGTGTTCAAACCAACCCTTTGAACATCTTCAAAATCTATAAATGTAATTATTCCCAGCAATAATTAACCATCTCTGGCAAAATCTAGTCTAATAAATATTAATGGCATCTGTTGTTTATGTTTACTTTATATGAAAGGTAGTGATGACTACAGCAGTTCCAATAATATTAAACAACATCAATCAATATGTGTGACATGCCACTCACAAACATCCAAGGGCTGATAACAATGTCTGACTTTACCTTAGGAAATCTAGTCTAAATATCAGAATGGTTACTCACTATCTATTAACCAATTAAAGCATGTTTCACTGACTTACCTTATTTACCTTGAGTTGAAGATAACAAAATGGATTACACATTTCCTACACAACAATGTACATCCATAAATAAATTATAATGTAAAACATTAATAAAATTAGGTGTACACCTACCTAAATAAATGCACTACATTTTAAGATTAACAAACAATTAAGAGTGCAAAGAATGGCAACCTTGTGGATGAAACAAAGAAAAACTGACTCAAGGTCGGTTTTATACAATGTACTCAGCTTACCTTCTGTTCAGCATGCTTCCTGGCTGCCTTCTCACGTTCATACTGGGTCACCAACTGCTCATTGTCTTCTCGGAGCAACTCCAATTCCACTTCGTGCTCCTGGTTGGTCTGGTATGCTGAGTCCAGGCACTCCAGGACATTCACCAGCAAAGGCATCAGTGTCTTCACAACATCCTCGTCATAACGAGCTATCATTCGTTCGAACTCTTGGTAGATACTCCCCGCCAGCGTCTGTACCTTTTCCGACATCACTACATGAGAATCTTCGTGTGTGCCGTAGATCGTTTCGGTGGTTACGTAGCCACTACTCGAACTATCGTCGAAATTCATGATTGGAAACAATAAGGAAACTTGTAATCAAGGATATTACGTCTATCCGTTGCAAGGACAGCCTAATGAATTTTACGCGTAAACATAGTAGTGCATTTGTGTTCAAGATTCCTCTATCACTGGATCGATTGTTAAATTTCAAGTTGTTGAATCTCACATATCGGTTATTATCAAATAAGCGAAGTAGGTAGTTTTCGTGAATAAATTTTTATTCTTGTTTTAGTTCTAATAAAGATAGGATAGAATATGACTACGTCCAACTGCACACACACTCCATTTGTTTGACGTTTATTTTTGCTTTGTAACACAAAAAGGTCCGTTCATTCGTCGTTCTATTGACTTTATGTTGATGTACGGTACGGTACGCTAGTTGATCCGACCGACAGACGATCGCACGACGAAGATTGCGTCATTCCATTCTCCGTAGTGTTAGGTCATGGAAAAATTTACATTTTTCAGGAAAATAAATATTTTTCAGGAAAATCAATATTTTCCGAATATTTTTCTTAATATCAGCGTTGCCAACACCTATTGTTCGAAATCCCCAAATTTGGGGAGAGTAAAGTTCACATTCCCCGCAAATTCCCCACATTTCGAGTTTTCATTATTATTCATTATAAAGCCTTCGCTTATAACTAAATAAAAAATAAAGAAATCCAAAATGTAACCATCTATTACATTGACCTACCAATAAATGGACGTCGCGTTCGCGCTAAAAAGTGTCCGCACCTATAGGGCGTTAAAATAGCATACAGAGCGTCATTCGCGCAACAGTCTCTGTTTGTTCGACTGACAGCGCGGTTGTCAATCATGCAGTACCATATAATAATAACTTGTAAAAGTTATACAGCAGTAAAGTGTAAAAACAGGATTTTGTATCAAATTTTCACTAAACAAATATATTGTGTTATCATCGTTCTCATTTAAAAGTGCTATTTTGTACAGTTTTATAGTATTTAATTTATTAAATTTATACATAAATGAATCGTAAATATAAATTACGGAAGCACACAAAATAGTCAAATAGCTAATTGTCCTTTCTCTACATTGCATGCGCAAAAGATGGAAAGAGACCCATTAAGTCAATTTCAAGAAGCTTATATAAACTTCTTGGTCATTTTCAATTGTTCGAACCACAAGCGATTGAAATATTTAGAACAAAGAAACTATAGAGTCGCTTTGATTTTAATCTTATTTTTAAAATGATTTTTTATTAAACGTTGGCAATAACTAACAAAACATTGTTGTAGTCGTTTTACGGCTTGGGATTACCTATCAGAAGTCAAAAAATACACTTGCCCGAAATAACGTTAGCTCGAATTTTCATAATGTCAAATGTATTTTTTAGGTAGATTACAAAACAAAAGCTAATTTTGTCTTCGTGAAAAGAATCAAAATTACTCGAAAGTGTAACGATTTTATTATAAATCGGTCTTCGGAATTGCGGATATTTGACTTGACGTTTAGTTGGAACATCGGTACATTTCTTATAGTACACGCTTATTTTCACATTTGTAGTAATATTTGTATGTATGCAGTTGCCCAACTCTTTATTAATTATTTAAGTGAATTCGACATAATATACATATATATAAATTAATTGATATTTACGATATAGGCTACTCCATTACTCTTGTGTTCAAGTAATTTTCAGTCGAAGCTAAATATGGTGCATTTTGTTAAATTTCCAGTAGAAGAATATGGTGTTCTTTGGGGCCCTTAAATTCTTGCAAGCAAAATCAGGCAGTACTGCAATGACGTTACAATTTAAATTAAATGTTTTAGTTTTTTATGTTTCGTTACATGTCACTACGTTTGTAAAGATTAACTTCGGACATTTTTTTCGTGGTTTTTGTATTAGACCCGACGTCCATTTGTTGGTAGGTCAATGATCTATTACATTTGCTGTACATGACAAATAGAATATGAAATTTATCTTAACGTTAACTTTGAAAAAAAACTAGATAATATTTGTATATGATAAGGTCTTATTTCTAATAAAAATAATAGACGAAATTTCTTTTTGTTGATAGTTTTTAACATTGTTTGCAGTAGCAAACAAATTAAAAATTAAAGCAACAAAAACAAAGCAAAAAATGTTAATTTCCCTAAACATTGGAATGGTTTCGAAAAATCTAAGACGGTGTAAAGATATGGCAAGTTTTTTTCGCTTTTTTATTAAGACAGTTCTATGTGCACATGCACATGTGGGGTGTGGTAATAGCGTTAGCATCCCTAGTAAGTTTGTGGTAATAACAATGTACGTACTTGAGTTGCAAAAAATTACACTGAAAAGAAAAATGGCAAAAATTCAAGCATAATGCAGTCTGTTTTTTTAGGATAGGGTATGGCAAAATATTCTGTACAGGATATTGTACGCCGAACAGAATCCTTGTTGTCTATTGTGACTTTCACATTAGTTCGAGAGTAGGCAACACATTGTGACGTTTTGACAACTCAGAACACTTTAATGGGGTGTTGTGGGGGGGTCGCATTTGTCAAGCGTTTTCCCACTTTAATTGTCTATATGTCCGTGCGTGGCTGATATCGTGTCCACTTGGCTTTTCTGAAAATTACAACCAACGTAGTAAACTCAGGATATATTAAAAATTATTTAATATATTTATTTATTAAGTTAATTTTTAAGTTATTTATTAATAACTTTCAGCGAATAAAGATTGTAAATCAAGTAAGTATGTGTCTTATTGGCATTTCATTCAATATAGGTACAGTTACAACTGTTTAGTTTGGGTGTGTTTCCACGACACCAATTCAATCAACTTAATTTCTTCAGATATGTCTGCGAAAGTGGACTGTGATGCTAGCAGAAAATCTGTGATTTGGGCGTACGTGTTGTGGTTGTTCGGCGGGATATTCGGCGTACACCACTTTTATTTGAGAAGGGATCGTCATGCATTTGTGTGGTGGACTACTCTGGGAGGGTTCGGCGTGGGATGGCTGGGAGAAATATTTCGCATACCTCGGTACGTGCGAGATGCCAACGAAGAGCATCCTCAAGAATTAAAGGCTAAAATGCAACAAAACAAAAAGGTATGTTCAACTTTTTGTAAAAATGGGTTAAGTGTGTAGCTGAATTGTGACTGGTCTAATAAGTTACATGTAATAAATATTTATTAAATATAGGTTAATATAGGTATAAAATGTAATGGAAGGCCACAACTAAATGTATGGGGCTTTATATTTTATTTTGGAATATTACTTACTTGTTTATATTTTACTTTTATTCCCTTAAAGTTGGTTAAGTTACATTCAGTGTAAATCTGAATGCAAGTAAAAATAAACAGGTGAGTAATATTATATAGAGGAACATTACATAATTACTACTTTATGGGTTATAATATAACTTTTCTAATCTAGAAAGATGTCACTGAATTAAATGTAAACCTATTTGATACTGCTTTTGGGAGACACTTTTTGATGACAACTATATATTTGAGATAATTGTGCACTATAACCTCTCTTATTTTTTCTGTTTTAAGCCGCCTCTATGCCAACTTCAGTGGCTCATCAGAACTTGGTGAAGGTAAAATATAAAAGTAATAATTGCATGGTCATGTGTTTGTGCAAGCTTGATTGTGTTCTTTAGTGTATGACTTTAGAAAATGGAGCATATTATTGGTTACAAATTAGAACTACACCTTTACCACTTGAAATAAGTATTTATACTTCTAAATTCCTTTGGTTATTGGCAACATTATCTGCTACTGATGTACTGTGTACTCACAAGTTCATATAATTATTATTTTGCTTAGATATGATTCTTGTAGCAATGTTACGAGTTGGTAGATGTGAATAAATGCTTAATTATGTAATTGTCTATGTAATAAAAAAAAAACTTATACTTGATAAATAATTATCTTAGATCTGATAAACAATATATCATAAATCAGATAACATGGATGTCAGTTTCATGTGTGATTCTATGCATTAGAATTTAATTAAGAAATGTGTTGTTTCCAGTTTTATAATTTCAATTTGAAAGTTGAAGACTTTTGCTCAGTTTTAGAATTTCTTACTGTCAAATCAATTATTGTACATGTTTATGGTAGTGTACATTAATTTTGCACAAATTTATATTGATATGTAACTACATTTATAACTTACGCACACTATTTTCATGTCTTGCTAATGTGCTTCTGGCGTTTTATGTTCTCAATATGCTGATAAAGGAAATTGTTGAAGTCGTACATGTTTATATGGCCATAAAATTCGTATTTCTGAAAACAAACTGCTATAATAACGTGAAGTCTGATTTTCAATTCATGCATGAAGCATGCTGGAAGACTCTTATGAAAATCTAATCTAATCTATCTTATGAAATCTAACTAAACTAGATTTCATAAAATTTTATGTTTAATTAGACTAATTGGAGAAATGAAATACATGTCATTTTGAGAGTATGACAAATATCCTAGGGAATATTTCCTATTCTCCATAATGGCGAATTTATTATTAACAAATGCTTCTCTTTTCTGACTACTTCGTCTATGACTAAGATTAAGAACTTTCATTGCCAATATTTGCAAGGCAATTTAATTTACCAATTAAATCACGAGGAAAAGTAATAATAATAATAATATTTTAATCGCACATAATTACAACTTAAATTTTTTTGGTTATACAATTGTAAACTTCTTTTAAATTTAACAAACAATGTATTCTTTTTAAATACTTGTAATAAACAGTTAATCTAATACTTTCATACTTTAAGATACACTTTACTTTAAACATACATAGCTTCTTAAACTATTAAATATTATTATTATAAACGAATTCTCTATCTACAGTTTCCAACTTAATAAAAACATAGAAAACTTTGTAAAGTTGCTATTTGACACCTAAAATATGACTTTGGCTACCCTGACCTTTACCCATATTTTGGCATTAGTAGCATAAATTCAGTTAATTTTGCTTACCTACATTAGTAGCCGCGACTTGAGTCGCCGAAACGAGCGCAGAATGTATGTTTACATTTACAAGTTACAAATTATATAATTAGTTACAATAAATTGCAACTGTTATAAATTATAAAATTATTCATAATAAATTGCAGCCACCTTTCTCGATGAATCGGTTCACTGGCATGTTGATGGTCGGCTACTCATGGGGCCAAATGATGATGTGCGCTGTGCCTCCAGATGAGTTTTGGGGCATCAACCTTCGCTACTTGAATTACCTTGTCCCTCTTGCCGCTGCTTTAGGTGAGTATTGTTTTAAGTGTCTATATAGAAAAGTAGAATATGAGTAACTACATCTCCCTACATATTATATTACAGCATTACTTCATTCTTCAAGCCTATTCAGGGTTAATAAAGTGGGTTTTATTTTGGCTTAACAATTTGTGTGTTCATAGTAGACAGGTATGTATGTCGATTTGCAGCAGGTAAGAGAACAAAAGATATAAAACTAGTACTGCTAATTAACGCTGCTGATCCGTACCAACAAAATTGTAATGTGTAAAAGTTTATTCTAAATATATATGAAAAGTTACAAAGTGCTTTTATCATTTAGGTGTATGGACAGTGGGCAACATAGGCCGTGAACAAGGCTCTCTCAAATGGCCTCTACTTGCGGCGTACGCTGCGTACCCCATACGGTACTATATCTATGACGAAACTGTGTGGTTCACCCTTATGGTGATTGCATCAAGCCTCGCTTTCGACTCGTTTTCGAAGGAATGGCGGAGAACTCGTACCAAACGAAACATTGTCAAGTCAGTACATCATCTAATTTGTAAAAATGAAGTTCCTGGTGCGCACGCGCAAAGAAACATGATTTATAACACTTATAATTGAACATTTCAGACGCGTAGGAATACTAGCTCTGTGCGCCTGCTTGTACCTTTCACTGTGGTGCAGCTACCTCTACTTTCATGGGACTATCACTGACAGTGAAGGCGACGAGATACCCATATATGAAGCGCTTCATCACTTCTTCACTAGTCCTTGGTATATGTACTATTATTACCAGTTGGTGTTATCACATACAAGGCTTAACGAAACATTTTGTTCAATATCATGATTACGAATACTAGCTTAAATATGGTCGCACCTTTATTACAACTTTTTTTTATCACAATATTTCTAATATATGATGTAAACAAAACGTTAAGAAAGTGCATGTAATGTATTTTGTCAGTATGTGACTTAAGGAAACGTGTAAAATATATATGTTTTAAAAAATATTAATTTTGTTGTCATTAGGTGGTTGGACGTAAAGCAATGCCTGATCGATACGTATCAATACGCGCAGCATCACGGCTGGTACGAGGTGTGGAAGCAAATTATTGACCTCTCAGATCCGCATGGCGAGCAAAATGCTTACAAGGTACTGTTTTATTTGTTTGTGTTCCTTTTACGCCTGTGCAATTGATCCTCTGATTAATTTGCACAGTATACGCTGCAGTATTTCAGAGATATGTGGAGCTAGTTTATATACCCAGGTGTAAGAGCTCACTTATCTTATATATTTAAGTGATACGTATATATCGTGTTTACGTGAACCACCACACACGTGACATACCACGTGTGATATGTAGACTTACATGATACGTCGTATTACATACGCCTATACAGTTGCCCTTTATCATTAGATTGTTCGACAACTTTTTATCATTTTCACAGTTCTATGGTACGACGCATATCGTTGAATTAATAAGTTATTGTATTTGATTGACCAACGTCAATCGGAAATTCCATCAAATTATGTTGTTACTACTGTTTCTGAATTTGATGCTCAATTCTTATTAACACGTGACGAATAGGACAAAATTTTGTTATTATCAGTGTGATTATATAGTTTGTATCGCTATTTCAGGTTCTTGGTATCGGTCCTGACGCCAGTCAACAAGAGATCACATCCACCTGGAGGCGTCTTTCTCGGGAAAACCATCCCGATAAAGTCAAAGACGAAGTGCAGAGGCGTGCTGCACAAGAACGATTCATGGAAATCCAACAGGCTTATGAAATCCTCTCCAACAGTAAACATAGAAGAAACAGACGTAACAAGAAGGACAACTCTGATCCAAGACCAGAGTCAAAACAAAGAACTGAGTTGTAATTTACTCTTTCATGTTTTATGGTAAGATTCAATGGATGCATTTCATCATTTCATTACTTGTGACGAAATTTTATACTGAAATTTTCCAGAAAGTTATCTGTTATCGTAAAAGGCATTTTTAGTTTAGGATTATATTTAACCTGTATTAATTTACTTTATTTAATGTCTTTCTAATATTTTTTCACAATCTTAACAAAACAAGTCAAGTTCAAAATTGCGTAGTTTCTCCATGATACTGATTTTTGTCTTATCAGCTAATTAATATTAAAAATGCGATGATCTGAACAAATATCTCACGCTTAGCGAATTTTGTGATAGTTTTGTTCACCCGTCCTTGTTATTATATTTTTGGTGTTGATTTCGCGAATATTGAAAAAGATAAAATTAACAAATTCATAAGCGTTTTCTTTTTTCAACTAAAGGTTTTTTCATTACTTGAAAAAATGACCTCTGAATTATGGCCAGTTCGACGTGCTTCACATTAATGTAAAATATCCTGTAGTAAGCGTGATACGTCGACTAAATCTTTTTTTGGACAAAATATTTTTATTCACATTTTTTAATACACGGGTAACAAAATCTGGTAGCGAATAGGGTCGTAGCGGTCAAATGTTTATAATAAATAAGTAATAATGAAACTAGTATTTGAAAAGAATGCATAAAGAATTTAATAAATAGTAACTATCAAGAGAACACTAAAAAAATGTGTAAAGAAAAAATAATAATTTTGTTAGCTGTATGATTTTATTGCCCGTGAGTTAAATTTTTTTGCGCAATGTCACTACTAGTAAGATTATTTAGGAAATTTGGGTTAAAGGTCTGATTTATTTATGCATTTAAAGAGCCAAATCTAAGTTAATGTGTAAATACTACATTTATACCAACTGCAATTAATTATATTTACGTCACCCAATTACTTGGTTAAGTCGACAAATGACCGATTTGTTCCTTAGCCATTTATTATTTAATTATTATTAACTTAGGTTAGATTGGCAAATTATTTATTATTAAATCCACCTGCGTTTCTTTCGTGGTGGTTTACCTAGGCACTATATCAAAATAATATTCAGGTCTTTGGTTTTCGCCATTGTTACATAGGAAATGAAACTATTTTTCCGGTCATAGGTTTCCCAGTACTAACTAGGTTTCCCATGGTCACGGTCGACTGACCATGGGGCCTGTAAAGGGCCCGGAACGTTGGTTTGTTTCAAAAAAAATATATGCTATCTAAATCCGGAAAAATAGTTTTATTTCTAAAATACTATTGTTTAGTACCACTGAAAAATCTTCCAAACCCAGGAAACTTATTTGTATTTTTTGTATAGTTTATAGTAAATAGGTCAATGTTTTTAATAGTTAATTGTAGTTTTTGTCTTATTAGTTACTATGCCCTACGTACTAATACGAATCTCCCGACGAATATGTATACTTAGTTATGCGTGAAAACAAGACCAATTTAATTGACACTGCTCGGCTTTCGCGTAAATGACTATCTTTGGTGATCAACACGTCCGCTATTAAATATATGACTTTTAAGATTGTTTGCTATTGTTTGCCAGCTTAACTAGTTGCCATGCGCCTTCTATATCTACTTAGTGCAACTGGAGTTACAGTAATTGTTTATTTATATCGATTATAACCATGCTGCTTTAGATACATATCGTTAGTTAAATTAAGGTTTGTTATTTAAATTAACATGGATAATTTTTTCTGTGATTTTTTAAAGAGCCGAAAACACTGAGATGCTGTAATTATCTGGATCTGACATGCTTCCTGATTTAAAACAGGGCTTACTTAAACTAATTTTAATTAATCGGAGAAGTATAGTATATAGTATATAGTTTATTAAAAATTTGTAAAACATTTAGTACATAAAACAATCAGTCTAAAGATTTATTACAGGTACATACATACCTTATTGGTACACCCTATACTATACCTATACGTTGTATATAAAGGCTATACGAGACGTGTGGAATGTACCGTAATGTAAAATAGGATATTTTGCTTCGTAGAAAAATAATTTTATTTTTAAAAGTAATTAGTAATAGATGGTAATTCAACGACTTACAAAATTGCCCGCCTCATCTGGGAATCGAATCTACCAAATGTGAATACAAAAACATCTGTATTTTATGGATCGATAGGGTCAGTTGTAAGTATTAATTAGTATTAAGTATCATGATATCATGATACTTAATACTAAACTAATCTTGAAGGAGCAACATTTATTTATCAAGATTATTTATTAAAGAAACTAACTTGATTTGAAATTAATTTATTAAATGTTCAAAATGTGATCCATCTTCTTGTATGAAAATTCTCAATCGTTTCATAAGTTCACTACTCGTAGTTTTTATTATTATGATGAATATTCGAAACAATACACCGCAATTCCGTTTTTAACTCGTCTACTATGTGAAATTGCTTCTTGTTTATTAAATCTCTCACATATCGCCAGAAAAAGAAATCTAATATCCTTTTCTGCGAATCTAATCTTTGAATACAATATTACTTACATTTAAATATAAAATACTGTCTCCATGAAGCAAAATATCCAATTTACAATATTTACTTTCCCTCCGTGCCGTATAATCGTGGGACATTAATAATCGTAATAAATGTATACATGTACACAGGATACAGTTTGTTTTGTAGTTTTGATCCTTGTAGAAACAGTTCGTCCTGGGCAGTACTCCCACCTTATCTATTTCTGCCGCCAAGTAGTAATGTTAGCATTACTGCGTTCCGATTTAGAAGGGTAACGGTGCTGGTGAAATTATAGGCACATGGGACTTGTCAACTTATGTCTCAGGATAACGGGCGCAGTGTCAGTGCCCCTGTGTTCTTTACGATTTAAAGCTCTGAGTGGCACTGCAACTGTTATGGACAGACGTGTCTCTTACCACCAGGCGCACAACTTGTTCGTCCCGTCACTTGAAGTATAGGGGGTGTCGTTCCCACCACCGTCAGACCATTTTAACTCACAGAGATACTACGGTTTATAATGAGTAAACGGATAATAACATTCTATTTAAAAAAAAAGAGTGATATCCATAACTATTTTGAGTTACACCCATTGACTTACAAATAAATGGACGACGGGTCTAATACAAAAACCACGAAAAAAATGTCCCAAGTCAACCTATTCGAAATTTAAATTGTTATGTCTTCGCAGTATCGCGCTGTCCGTAGAACAAATGAAGACTAAAGCGGAGTGTCGCGCTCTGTATACGATTTTAGCGCCTTACAAGTGCGGACACTTTTTAGCGCGGACCCGACGTCCATATAATTGTAAGTCAATGGTTACACCATTCATTAATAAATATTTTTAAATCATGTCGGAAGTCACAAAACAACATTTTCACCACACGTATCGATGCGGATATAGCTTCAGGCGGCCACGTTGTACCACACTTGCTCGGGGCATTGGCGCCGCTTGCTGTTCAATCTTCGTCTCGAATAGAGGGTTTGACTTGTGGCCTTTACACCTTCGAAATCTAAAAATAAAATAAACTCTTCTAAATAAATTCGAAAAATAAACTCGTCTATATGGACTTCGCTGACGATCGGCTGTTGTCAACGCAGACGTATGGGCAGCGACACCGCCGTTCAGCCGTCATCGGTTGCATATGGACGCAATGGAAAATTCGCATGAAGCCATTGACCTATATAGTATGAAGCAGATTTGTTGCCTGTTTTAACTGTCAAACTTCAAAAACTCTGTCGCGCTGGAATAAGGCACGCATCTATACATTGATATCGTTGATTCAAAGTCTCAAGGCTTTATGTACCATTGACTGTAGTTGGTTGTTATTTTAAATAATTTCAACTGTATTCTACCATAATTAACAAGCTGATAATTATGTTAATTATCGAGTTCTTAGGTTTTCGCGATTGTTACACATAGGAAATGAAAGTATTTTTCCGTATTTAAATCGCGTATATTTGTTTTTTCAAACAAACCGACGTTTCGGGACCTTTACAGGTCCCATGGTCACGGTTGACTGAGGTGGTACAGTCTTCAACCAGTTATGTCTAATATTGATGCAAACCACCCTATTTTTTTAGTGAAAAAAAGCGGTTTGTTTGAAAAAACAAATATACGCGATTTAAATCCGGAGAAATAGTTTCATTTCCTATTATGTTAATTTTTCAAATGCATCCTACTATTACGTATTATAAAATGTAATAAATAACCAAATAAATAGTAACAATAAAGTATAATAATGATATCAAAAATGTGTCGAAGGTTCATATTTTAAAACTTTAACATATCTTTCATTATAAAAGTGAAGCAACTCCAATAATAGCACTAACATCCCATAGATGGAAGAAATTTGTCGTTGTAATTAAACTTTGTTTTAGCAAATTAATGTGTAGTAATTTTCGTTCTCTGAGTAAACTAGAAATAGTTTACTCAGAGAACTAAAATTACTACGCATTAATTTGCTAAAACAAAGTTTAATTACAACGACATAATTCAATTTTACAATGAACGACACAAATATCAAAGTTTACTATTTTCTATTATTTTTATTAAAATTATTAGTTCAATTTTCATTAGGCAAATTGTTGTACGTTTTTGGCGCCTTACGTAATTATGTAGTTTTAATGATTAAATTAGTCCTTATTACAATCATGAACATTGATGCCAGACACCACCATGTTAGGGTTCAAGGTTCAATAGTATCTTTGCAAACTTTACTTTCAAATGTTGAGGAAATAAGGTACCTTAAAATAAGTGTAATAATAATTTGAGGTTAAATTTGTTGTTGCAAAAAGCTTACTGCTACGCGAAGCCTGTTAGTGTACCTATTTGTATAGTAATTGTGTATTATGTAGATTTATACAATTTTTCACCACGCCATTGTGATAAAATAAAGTTGCCGACCCGTGTCGAGCCGCGCCTATACGAGTCGATTCGAAATGTGTATCGTATCCTCTCTTCTTAAATTATGGACATAAAGCTTTTTTAGACCGGCTTAATGTTATTCCGTGTCGATGAGTGTGGTGACTCCCAAACAGTATTAAACGATTTTCTCAACTTAACTGATTAACCAATATAAAATTCTTTTTTAACTATGATTCTTTTTCCCGCTGTTGTCCAATAATTTTAAATCTCGTTTTACTCTAACTTGCTTTTAGCTATTAATTTTATTTGATAATTCACGCTAAATAAAACTTCAAAAGATATATCTAAAGGTAGAACATATATATGGGCCTTCGAATTATATTTTCCCAAATTGTCAGAATTTTTCCACTGTTTGAAATTTTTCAGAAAATTACCCAACAGTAGTTGCGGCATTATTTACGAAGATTTTAATGTCATTTTACGCATTAAATTTCAAATGAATTTTCTTTTGTTTGTCAAAAAATATTACCTCATAAATTAACGAGTAATTGACTGGCGACGATTTAATTTTTACACTGCACAGAACTTTTTGGGTCATAGATTTTAGTCTCAAAGCATTTAGTTTTTAATTTAATTAAATTTTGTATTTATTTAGAAATTAAATGAATTATCTGAATTTGTTTTTTTTTATTCTTACCCGATTAGATTTGTATTTAGTCATAATCATAATAATATTGAGGCAAATAATCTTAACCTTAATAAATTAGGGAATTACCTTTACTATGAGTATCAGATCCGAGGAATTCACTCCGGGGTACCCAGAGGTCACCCGGCCGTGAATGGAATAATCCCCTCTGTCCGTTTGAATCCCCTGGGCGATTTATGTGGATTTTTTGTCCGTATGGAAAAGTATATCCCCCTTATTAATAATGACGTAAACAGAATCCACTAGCGGATCCAGTTGGATCTAGTAACAATCGAGTTTTTCGGTAAAAGATAGCGAGTGACGTGGTGTTATTTACTAAAATGAGGTCTCGCTTATGGGTCTTATGACCTGGCGAAATAGCTGTGATTCGAAAATGGTGCCGTCGACGCCGAAATAAGTTCATTTCGGCTTGGTCAGTGCGCAGTGAAGCGTCGTTATAACAAAATGGCTAACGGCCAAAAAAAAAACTATTTTATACCACTACAACCGACTAATTAATGACTTTCTGGGTACACAGATTTTACG